AGTGTAGCGAACATTATCATACAGGTGAGTACAGTCTCAGCAGGTACACAGATACAGGCCAGAAAGTTCTGTCTGAAAGGTCCCTGCCTTCGACCAAATGAAATCTCTGGTGGAATGAAGGTGGTGGGTGATAGAATCCTCCAGAGAAATCTGGAGAGCTGAGGACAAAAGGAATTAAGCTATATTTCCTGACTCTGGAGCCTAGTAGGAGGCTACCTTGTAGAGTATCCTATTCCCAACCTGGGTGGCAGAAACAGGAGAAAAATAGCAATAAGATAGTTATTGGAAGGGAAAGATGTTCTGAGATAACTGTGCACTCCCCTGCCCACACTGGTGTCCAGGAGAGTCCCCCATCTCAGTGGAGGACACAAAGGTTAGCCATGAGCAGGAGGAACAGGAAGGGCAATGCCACTCTGGTAAGGGTCTCTTGTAAGACCAGGGAAGGTTAGAATACAGAGTGCCCATGCAATGGGTCAGTGGCATTTGCAGCCATCTGGAGAGCCAGCTGGTGAGAGGAAAAGGATCAGACAGAGCTAGGGGAAGGATGCCCCACAATGACTGTCTCAAGAGACCAGCAGCAGCAGAGTCGAGAAGCCAGGGCAAGCACAAAGCAAGCCAGAGAAAGGTGGAGACATCCCTGGAGGACAGCCCTCCATCCACCCATCTCTCCCAAGAGGCAGGGAATGCTTTTATTTAAGCAAAACAGGCTATGTTGATGGGGCAGTTGCTGGGCTTAACTGAAAGGGAGAGGATTTCCTTATCCACTCCCGCCCACAACCTGCACCCAACCCAGCCTCCCACCAGCCAGGCTGGGCTTGTCCCATATTACCATAGGAGACATCCTGACAACTGCCCTCCATATGAACCCTGGGTGTCCCCCAGAGCCTGACTGGATGCTATCACTCCTCTGCACAAACCTTCTAGTGGTTCATCTCAAGGCAAAGCTGTGCACAGCGTCTCTGGCCTTACCCACCCAGCCTAGCCAATGCCTCCTTGCCTTCTTCCAGGAAGCAACCTCTGGGCTGCTGTACGGCTATTCGCTCTGCCTAAATGCTCTTCCCCAGATATTCACATGGCTCCTCCTCACCTCCTTCAAGTATTTACCCAATTGTCACCCCCTTCAGAAATCCCACTCTAAGCACTGACTGTATTGGTACCGCCCCCCCAAAGATGCCCACACTCACTCCCCTCCCTGCTTTACTGTCTTCCCGCTGTGGCTCAGAGCCCCTTTACCACATCATGTCTGTATTGTTTGTTGCTTCCTCCCACCACTAGGACGTAAGTCCCAAGGGTTTTTGCCATTTGGATTTACTGATCCTTCCCTATGTGTCAGGAATCATGTCTGGCACCTCCAAAGCATTCTAGAAATACCTGTGGCCTGAACTCAGGAAGCCCCTGGAGGATGAATCAGGAGGACCTTACCTTCACATTAATTGTAGGAGAGACCAGGCTAGATAATTCTCTCTGCATCCGGAACCGCAAACCTGAGCAAGAGCCAGTCCCTCCAGACAAGATGATATGGCCGAAGAGGACCTTGGAGAGGGCAGAGCTGCAGGAGGTGATACACTGGAAGGCCTTCATGTGGATGCCTACGGTGTCTCTCCCTGTGGGGATGGGAGCAAAATAAAAAGAACCTTGAGGGCCTGAGACTCCACTGGCCAGAAATGTTGGCTCCTCCCTTCCTGCTAAAAGACTTGGTTGGTGGTGCCCTCCTGGAATCTCAGACAGCTCCAAGAGTAGCAAGCAAATGTTAGCACCAATGAGACAACTGGTCACTTGTGGTTTCAATGCAGTCATGCACATGAACTGCCCAGAACATGGCAGGACCCAACTGCTGGTGGTCAAGGAACAAAATATGAATCCACCTCTCTCATCCGACAAAATTTATATTCAAATGTTTTTCCCAGTTATTCATTGTTAATGCCTTGGTGTCGATTATTTTATGGAAGAATTTCTATAGAGGCAGTGTCCTGACTCAGGTAGCCTTTGAAAAATAATACTAATTAATCCTTTCCTGACTCACCATTTGGCTACATATATAAACTCAAATAGGATCAGAACAGCCTCTTAAAAGATGTGTGTTGTATTATTGTCTGCTCAGGGTTGTGAACTTCTGGGAGGGGCGAGTGCTTCATTTTCCTGGTCTGTGACCTTGTGCTAAGGACCGAATAGACTAACTCACAGGACTCACTGGATGAGCCCGGACTTCAATTCTATCTCCAGTTAGCCACTTAATATTTGGGAGACATGTGTTGCACCCCGGTTGTGAAATTCCCAAAAGACCACCACCAAGGAGCCAACTCCAATGCAAGCACACAAAGGTCACTTTAATTCAGGCTCGAGACAGGACTCCCAATTGTCACCAACACAGCGGGTCAGAGTTGAGAGCCCCCAGTGTTAGTTGGGCTGGGTTTTTATTTGGCTGTTAGGGAGGGGAGGTGGAGGGGTGTTGAGGAATGCACTCAGGCGGCTATACATTGGCTGTAGATTTCAAGAAGCATAGTTGTCTTTTACTGATTGGCAAGAAAGTTACTTCAGGTCTCTGGTATTTCCTTTGTTTTTTTTTTATCATTGGCCAGCACCGGTGGGGGGATGGTCTTATGACCTTCTTCTACGTGATCAGCTCATCTCCTTTAAATGGCACCGATTCTCAGCAAGGTGGGTTTAACAAAATAGAGTAGCCCCATAAAAAAATGGAGTCACTCTGGTCCTTCACATGTACCACATTCTTAAGACTATATGCCATGCACGGTCTAACAGCAAAAACAGAGACAGCCCCAGCTAATCTTTACAAGATTAAAAGTGCCATGGACTTACTAGATACTAATCCTGGGGAAATGGTTAGTTCCCCTAGGTTTAAGTCCCTACCAAATCTATCATCTTTACTTTTCTGCTTTAATTGTTTTCATTTCTATATTTTGAATTATTTTGTAAACAGGTGGAGTATTAATAATACTTAGGGAAAAGAAAACTAACAATTCATGTAATAGTCACATTTTACAGATGAATTCATAGGCCTTGGTGAGCTTCCTCCTCTGTAAAATGGGGTAATATGGGGGACACTTAAAGAATATAATTTGGGGCTGGCAGGTGGCATAGTGGTTAAAGTGCTAGACTCCCACCCACATGGCTGACCATGGTTCAAGTCCCAGACCTAGAGGCTTCCTTTCTCATTTTCCCTCTCTCTCTCTCTTTGGTGAGCATGTGTGCCTTATAGCAAATTTTAAAAAATAATGATAAATAAAATTTAAAATAAATAATTCTTTAAAATATATATATGTATGTATAACTTA